TTTAAATCAAATGTGTCGATAGAAGAATGAATTAAATACACAAGTTTGGGTTCCAAACGTGAGAAAATTCATTTGAAACGCTTAAAGCATCTGCCGTAAACGACGAACCTCTAGACGATGGTTTTCAGGTACAAACGCAGACCGCGAACGTGAAACCTGACTCCAAGACCTTGGTCACGTGACATTTTTGAAGTTTGCCGTTTGCGGTTTCAGGAAAAAACGTGATGCTAAAGGTCTCTAATGACCTCCACCAACTTGTACACTGTTTGTGGGATTTTTTCTTTGCTTACTTCGAATGTAAAACCATTGCATTTTATGGTTTTTTTCTGGGAATCTAATATGCTTCTTAAAGATGACATTCTACCTCTGTCAGAATCATCTTGGCTTCGATAAGCTTCAGTTCCAAAGAATCCGCAATCACCTCCACAGTATTCCAACCAACCTCTGAAAATAATGCAAAATCTGTTGTACCGATTTGTCAATTCGGCAGGCACATTTTGTGGACACCTAAAGTAATTTACTAAATCACAAAAAAGTTCTTCGCTTTTTGCTTCTATGGCAGCCATTTCGCTAGTTGACACCTTTTTGTCGTGCTCATTTAGAAATAGCTTTCTCATGAAAAACTTTAAGTTAAACCTAGCCCTCTTGACCAAGGCGTCCTTGGTTTCTTTGATTTTGAAAATGTCACTGTCACGAGACAAGTTTGCTGGGTTGCAGTCTGGGCTCAATCTGCCCACTTTGATCTTATACAACAAGATTAAGCTTTTGGTTAATTTGTCGCTTAAGTCGTTTTCGCCCAACAAGTCTAATTTCAACATACTATCCACCAAAGAATCTAAGTATCTGACCAACGACTCAAAAGATGCGTTATACAGGTAGTAAGATCCTTGCGCCAATATGACAAACTTGTTATATAAATTAACTATTGAAAGTTTGCTTATTGGGAAAACCATGTCCAAGTTGTCAATTGCCCATTTACTGACAGAAGCTCCGTAAAATATTCCACTCATCATAAATTTTTCAGAGTTGTTAAAATGTACTAAGTCAATGATAACTTGCATGTTAATTTTTGAAAAACTTACAGGCAACCTGTTTAAGAAGTTTGGAATTAATATACAAACAGCACCAGTTGCTGCATCTTCATAATGCATGAGTGTCATTTCGGTGTTAAAATAGAAAGCTCCAAACAAACCAGTTTCTTGGATCTTGTTTATTATTATTAAGAATGAAAAATCGTTAATGTACATCTGGTCTTTAAACTTTATCATTTCATCCACTTCGCCACCTT